CTCAAGCCCTGCGCACTGATGTCCTTGCAACCCCAGAGCCCCAGCCCAGCCCCCATCCTGGAGAAGGAATGTCCAGAGCAGTCGGAATGTTGTTTCAAACAAGCTGTAGTAAACACGGCTGTAATTTGGCCTTCCCCAAACTTTCTGGGGTCATAACAGGCATATCCTGCACAGGGCAGGATAAGGGAAGTGGGACAGAGCCCCTGCACGTCCCCCCAGGTAGCGCAGCTCCAGAACGTCTTGGCCCACCTGTGGGTCCTCAGTTGCCAGGGGAAGGGTGGCCTGTGAGATGGGGGTCTGCCTTGAGAAGGACCAGACAGGAGACTCGGGTGTGCGCCTTGGGGGAGAGGGCAGACCCTGAGTAAGGCTGTGGGCAGGCGAAGACGTGAACATGGGGACCTGCCCCAGGACCAAGGCTGGGGTGCCAACAGTGGGGGCCCTGGTGTTGGCTGTCAGTGTTCACATTCTAACTTTGCCGTGATGATGAGGGTGATGATGGCATCTGTCTTCTGAATTTGAGGATTATGGGAGAGGAAGCCTGTGACATGTTTAGCACAGGGCCTGGGACATAGGAATTGCTCAGCAAGTGCAGCTGTGATTATTGTGCCCTCCTTCCTGACCTCCTGGAGCTCTAGCCCATTTCCCCTTGTCACAGTTCCCTCCCCCTGGGGCTTCAGGCCCCTAAGGGTTAGTGGGAGGGTGGGATTAGGGAGGACTGGCTGCCTTGCCCTTTGGGAAGGGGGCTGCAGCTCCACATTCTGGGGTCTGAGGCTTCCCATTGGGGTTGGTGGTAACCGGACCAGGAGCCCCAGAGCTGGGGCAGGCCCTCCTGACTGTGAGCTGGCGACGGCACTAAGGAGGCAGCTCAGGCTCCAGCACTAATGAGCTCTGGACTCGCAGACCCTGGCCGGAGTCCACCCAGAGGAAGAAGCGTCAGAGGGCACCGTCAAGCCACATTCCCTCCCCAGCAGTGACAGAACTGAGCAACTGGTCTATGCAGGAGTAGAACTGGCAGGACTTGGTGATGGATTGAAGTGTGTATGTGTGCGTGTGGAGGGGAGGGTGGAAGTGCAGTAAGGGAGAAGGACTAGAGAGTTCCTTTGGTCTAAATGGACCTGAGCATCCTTTCTCTGAAAGGCAGGCAAAAAAGACGTTTCCGACATAGTTACAGGTCAATCAGATTGAAAAACAAAACCACCAGTGATACCCGCAAGGCTGCAGTGTGTGTGTGTGTGTGTGTGTGTAGTGTGTGTGTGTGTGTGTGTGTGTTGTGGTTGGGATGGGGCAGTGGCCTGGGAAGCACATCCATGAAAAGCATCAGCCTTGGAGATCAGCACACAAGTACCATTTGTCACTTTGCTGTGTTCAGCCAACACTGATGTCTCTGCTGATGGTCACTAAGATGATCTTTAGTTAGTTGAGAAAGAAGCCCCACATTCCCTCCTATTTCACTACCTCCCCCAATTTCCTAGAACTTCTCTTTTTTCTTCCTTCAATTCCTACTCATTCTCTTTCTTCCTCCCTTGTCCCCTTGAGGGGCCAGTGTTCCAAACTCAAGTCTGATCACAGCAATGGGGTTGAGTCCTGGGCAGTGGAGGCCCCTCTCACTATGTCCCACTAGTTATGTCCTTCCCCCTGCAGTAGGTGTAGCCCTTCCCCTTAATTGGACAGAGGTCAGGGGCTTCAGCCCAGGATCGGGCTCTGCTAGCCAGCTGGAGGGTGGGTGCAGAGCCCATTTCCTTTATCCCTCTCTGAGTCAGAAACACAGACTCTGGGGCCCAGAGAACTTGGGTCTTTATACATGCCACCTCTGTGAAGCTGTAGGTGGTTAGAGAGCCATTATCCTGGTTCCAGGAACAAAGAGTTGGGGTCATTCAAGGTAGCCAGAGAAGGGAAATGAATGACCTCCAGGGAAGAGGCTTGGAACAAGAGTGAAAGGAGGAGAGATGGGATGAGGTCATAGAATAGATATAGCCAATCTAAACTTTCATATCAGGCTGAGGACCAAGTTTTGGAAAGCTTGGATAGGGCCTGGGCGCTTCCATTTACTTTATCTCTATGCTCATGACCACCATGGCTCAGTTAAAAATATTATGTTTAGGTCTTGCTCATTGGAAGTGTGTAGACACTAGTCTTTTCCAGAATGAATTTATCCCTATTTTCATCTCCACCATGACTGCTGTCACCACCAACCCCATCACCAATATCAATACAGAGATGGCCATTGTAGGCAGTTTTTGTTAACTGAATGAAAGCCAGCACTACTGTCACCACCACTGACATCTTCATCTCCACCACTGCTGGAATTGGATCACCACTACCGCCACCTCCACCATCGTCAGTGACATCGCACCTCTACCACCAACCCCTCCCCCCGCCACTGACACCAATAACATCACTAACAACCACCGTTATCATCAACATTCCCACCATCATCTCCAAAACTGGTATTGTCAGCTCTGCCACCGACACTACAGCACCGTTGATATCACCTTCACCACCACCACCACCACTGTCATTGACATTACCACTATTGCCCTCACTGACATCATGACCACAGTCATTCACCACCATCATTAGCAACGTCACAACTCCTCCCGCCCACCATCATCCTCACAACCATCATGCTTGAATCCCCGCCATTGTCACTGGCATCACCACCACCACCACTAATTTCTATCTTCTCTCCTAGAACCATGTTCCTTCCCTTCAGAGCACAAAAGGAATGTGCAATTATACATTCTTTAAGCTGATTAGCTGGTTCCCACTCAACTATACATGTCATGGAAGCAGGGATTATGTCCCTCTTTCCCCCGCCGTGGAATTCTCTGTGCCTGGACAGTGGGCAGCTTCACAGTAAGGACTCCGTAAATGTCTATTGAATTAACAAATTATTTAGACCAGCACAGTCTCTACGCTGAAGGGAAGCTAGTCTCTAGGATTTGAATGCTTCCCATAGTTCTATCTCAGGACTGGACCTTACTAGAGAAAAATAACACTGGGTGATAAAAGTGATCAACCAAGAGGGGAGAAGTCTGTGCTGGCTCTGTGATACACACAGCAGTGTGGGAAGATCCTAATCTACAGTCCACCAGCTGGGAGCACAGCAGATGAGCTGAGAGATGTTCAGCTCCTCTGAGATCTTTATTTCCATCACTATGTCACCTGGAATTTATCTGAAGCTGGATCGATTCAGTGTCAAGACTTAATCCAGTTCATCTTTAAGAGCAACAGAGGTTTTCAAACATGCTCCCAGTAGGCTAGAGCTTCCTTGGAGGTACCTTGGAGGAAATGATGACCTTCAAGAAGGGGTCTGAGGGGGATCACAGAGAGGAGGGCTCTGGGCTTCCCACCCAAACTTCAACCATTGGGCTCCTGGTATAGATTTTGTAACAATGAGGCTCCAATGATTTTAAAATCAGGTTTTGAAAACCTTTGGCCTAGAAGGCGAGTCTTTGAATTGTTTAGTTTTGGAATAGATGTTTGGCATTGCGTGTATGTCCCAATCAAAAGTCATAAGCCAACGAATGCCACCAGGCCAAAAGAAGCATTAGGAAATGCACACCGATGTTTCTATGGACGCTGCTCCCACGGCCACAGCTCATCGAGATGTCTTTTATTCTGGTTCTTCGGTAAACTGGAAACACAGTTTTATTCTTAGAGAACTGTATTCCATGCAGGAACCCTTGTTTAAATAAACTGTCTTGGGAACAGAAGCCTAAGGAGGAGTGCAGTATATGAACTTACCCATGTGCCTTCCTGCCCAGCAAACTCTGGTTCTCTAGCCATGCAGAAAAGACCCTGGTGGGGGGAAGAGGACCCCATTCTTCCAAGTAACCCCCTCCAGCGGAAACACAGCAGCCAAGAGACTCAGAGTCAGCCAGGGATGGGAGATTGTCACCTGAGGGGAAGGAGACCAGACACTAATTGAGGACATAGTGCCTTTCCAGTGATGGTCACTGAGAGTGACAGGGCGGGAGCAGGAGAGTGAGAAGGATGGCTGTGCCTCACCCCCAAGGGCCAGGTCCACAGCAAAACAACAGATCCCTCCCCCGCATCCATCAGCCCCCTCTGAAAAAGTGTAACCACTGGGCAGGGCTCTGCATGTGTGTGTGTGTGTGCATGTATACACACTTGCCAAGCAGCTATGGGGATGGGGGCACCTGGCCAGCCCCCTGTCTCTCTGTTGGTTCAGCCCCTTCTGGCCAACCTTCATGTCTGTCTTCAGGGTACCCCTCAGAGCATGGGAAGGCAGGGCGGGGGGCCCCGGGGCTGGGGCACAGTCTGGGGAGAGCGGGTGGCAGGCACCGCTGCTCCAGGGAGATTCTGCACTGCCCGAGTCAGGGAAAAGATGGCATTCTCTGGAGAGATTAAGGCTGCAAAAGAGAGTTTAGTTTGAGGCGGCAACCAGGCTGAGAAATGAAGGTGCAATTGTGAGGGGGCTTTGAAACCAGGAGGGGAGTCGCTCGCTAGCCAGACATTTGGGCTGTGACCTTCCACAGATTGCTGGGGAGGCTCTGGAAAAACAATGTCACGTGAGACTGGTACCTTGGGAGTAAGGGGAGCCATGGGGTCGGGCCCTCCTCTCCGGACCAGGGATTGAGCAAGCCTGTTAGACACGTCCATTTCTTCCACAGGAGGCAGCCGGCTCTCAAGGTCGGTTATACCCTCAACCATTTGCTTCCTGGTGCAGAACCACTGCAGCCTTGGAAAGCCCTCAGCCACTGAGGGATGGCTGACCAGCACAATCTCCTCCCAGTGTGTGCCCTCTCTCTAGCCCTTGCAATCTCTCCTCTTGTTAAACAATCCTGTCTCTGCTCTTATGCGCCCCCCCAGGAAACACACTGCTTGCCATGAACCATGACTCCAGAAGGCTGTTGCTGTCACAGCTGTATTACCTACACCCTCACCCGAACACCCCATCGGACTTGATCCTGACCTCGCGGCTGAAGCACCACCTCATTCTGTCTGTTGAGGGCGTCTGTCCCTTGTGAGTAGCCTCAGAGAAAGAAATCCTTTAATGGCTGAGGAACCTGCGGGGGCCTCTCACCGTTGTGGCCCCTCCCGCTGCGGAGCACAGGCTCCGGACGCGCAGGCCCAGCGGCCATGGCCATGGGCCCAGCCGCTCCGCGGCATGTGGGATCCTCCCAGACTGGGGCACGAACCCGCGTCCCCTGCATCGGCAGGCGGACTCTCAACCACTGCGCCACCAGGGAAGCCCCCGCTCTCATTCTTTGGTTCATTCAGCCAGTGACATTCTCCTGAGCCCCCTGAGCCCCCTGTGCCCAGATCTGCCGGAATGGACGCAGGGAACGAGGGAAGAGGGCCGTGTTCTCGGGAAGCACAGTCTATCTACTTGGGGAGGCAGGAGTTACACAGGCAAACCTGTGAGAAGTCCATGCAGAGCAAGCCCTGTGGGTTCGTGGCAGAGAACATAGCATAAGCTGTGTCCCTGAAGTTGAATACACCTGCCACGGGCTGGGCTTGGGAGACTGGGGAGGGCTTCTTGGAGGAGGAAGGGAAGGAGGACAAGTAATCGGGGTAACTTACATCCTTTTGGACGAGCTCCGCGTAGGCTGTGCAGGCAGCGGAGACCAGCTTAGCAACATCAAGGTCTATGAGGTTGTTGCACGCCTGTGCCGGGAGAAGGTGGGGCGGAATCAGGTCTCCCCGGGCACAGGCAGCGACCTGCCGCTTCAAGGGGACAAGGCCGGACAAGGCCGGACAAGGCCGCGGCTCACGGCAGTCACTGGGACCAGCTGATCTCCCCCTGCCACCAGCTTGGCACAGTGCCTGAAATTGTACCAATGGAATTTTCTCTGTTGGGAAGATGGTAAGTGCAGTTTTCATTCTGGGCTCTAGGGAGTCCTGGGGTTCCACCGAGTGTTTCATGGGCTTCTAGGAGGACTCATTTTATGATTGGGGTGCTCTCTAAGATGTGTTTTGACAAAGCCTTCAGCTGCTTTTTAGAACTGTTGGAAAATTTCAGGTCTTTTGTCACAGTAGGACCCTAGGGCCAAAGAGTTAACTGTCAGTCTGTCAAGCCTAAAGCTTAAGAACTGTTCAGGGCCTCAGTTTCCCCATTTGCTGAACAGGGGTGATGATGATGATGAGCGTTATGGCCCCTCTGTGTCAGGCTTGTCATGAGGCTTAAACAAGCTGGTCTCTAAAAGCACGCAGCACGGTGTTTGGGGTATGTCAGTCTCATCACTATTCCTGCCCAGGGCCAAAGGGGCCACTGGAGTCCAGGGCCCCCGACCCAGGGGCCTTCACCAGGGATGGTGTGGGTGTCGGGGGCCTCCAGGAGCCGGTGGGGCCGGGCCGGGCCCGAGGGTGCTCTCACCAGGAGGATGTCGTCGCCTGTCATGCTCTCCTGCAGCACCTGCTTGCGCACCATCTGCAGCATGCTGTAGGCCACCAGCACCTGGAAGTTCCTGCAGGGCTTCCTCGTCAGCAGGACCTGCAGAGGTGGGCAAGCCTCAGCCTGGCCTGTGGCCTGACACTGCAGACGCCTTTGGGATGGTGCGGTACCCACCAACCACGTGGCCCCGTCCATCATGTCTGGGCCTTGCTGACGACGTGCTCATTCATTCAGTCATTCATTCATTCAACCTCTGGGGTTCTAGGCATGGTGCTTGCTGTTGGGGGACTCAGAGAAAAAGCCTTCAGGAAATTCACTAGAGAGAGGGAGGGAGGAGGGAGAGAGAATGAGAGAGGGAAGAAGGGAAGGAGGGAGGGAGTAAGAGAGAAGGCAGGAGAGGGAGAGAGAGAGAGAGAGAGAATGCCAAGAATGACTGGGTAACTCTCTGTAGCATTTGAGTGGAGCTTTGGCAAAGCAACAGTTGATGGAAAGTCAACAATCCAGGGGTGTCACCAGAGGCCTGGCAGTGGTCATGGACTTGAGCATGGAGACCAGCAGGCCAGGAGGGAGGGGTGAGGTGGGGGGAGTTGATTTCTGAGGCACTGAATGTCAAGCTGAGCGGTGGGCCGGATCCTGCAGGCAGTGGCGGCCACTGGGCAAGGCAGTGACGGGCGGTGGGCGTGTTCCCGGGGAGGTTCATCTGCTGATGCCCCAGAGACTAGGGTCAAATAACTGCAGGTGTGACCTGTCCTTGGGGGCCCCTCCTTCTCCAGGAGTGAGGGCTCAGAAGAAGTGGGCGCTCAGGTGGAGGGGAAGGCTGAGGAAGAGGTGGCTGGGAAAGTGAGAGCAGAGTGAGGCCCCTTGCACAGGCAGGGTGGCAGGGAAGCTGAAAGCAGGCCAGGCTTCCACTGCACAGGCTGGGAGGCCCCTCCTGCCTGCACTGCCCTGAGAAGGTACAGTGGTAGATTAGATGAACAGACCAACTGATGCTCTGTCATCTCCCAACAGGGCGGAAGCAGGCTCAGTGGCCCAATAAATCCCAGTGAACTCCCTCCAAAGCCAGCAGTCAAGGGAGGCAAGGAAAAGGGCTTCCCTGCCGCCTGCCCTAGGGGTAGGGTCTATCCTCTGCCCCAGAGGAGCGCCTCACCTCCCAGAGCCTCCAGACGTCGTCGAAGGACTTGAAGGCACGTTGAAAGTAGAGGCAGAACCAGGGGAAGAGGGGCTGCACGGTCCCTGCACCCTTCCCTTCTGTCAGGAGAGAAGCAGGGTGCCAGCCAGGGGGCCATGGTCAGGGGAACAGGAGATAAAGCAAAGACAGACAGATGAGGCCAAACAACTGAGCACATAAACACACTGGGAAATACAAAAACCTGGGCTGTCACTTTTCCATCTGCCCTTGGAGACTGTTTGGGGTGGATTTTCAACTGTCCAGATTTCAACCCCATCCAGATGAACCCTCTCCCTGGGGCCCAAAGAAAAGACCAAATGACCTTGCTCCCTCTCACATGATTGGGCGCCACTGCCTTGGACTGGGTCCCGCACCACCACCCCCACGCCTGCTCTGGTTGGAGGACATGTAAGATGGCAGAGGGGCGCACTCACTTAAGTGCTCAGCAAACACGGGGTCCAGGAAGTTGATCAGGTTGTTGAGCATGTTGAGGTTCTTGCCCACCCCAATGTTGATGACACAGCTGTACTCCTGGGAAAGATGGGTGGGAGGGAGGGAACACCTTGAAAGCATCAGAAGAGTCAGTCTTGCTTCATCAGCTCCCTAATTCTGGAGGCCCTGTGCGTGTCTGGCTCTGGGCCGGGCACGTGTCTCTGTATGAGTCTGAGTGTCAGTGTATGTGTGTTTGCAAACACACATCATGTCTGGTGGGCATGTGGAGATGTCTCAGGAGTGGCTCACAATGCAGTGAGACCAGTTACTCCTCCAGACACATGCCATGGGTCTGGACCAATCAGGACAAGGACAGAGCAGTGTGCACATTGTTGCAGGGATGGAGAGAGGGATGGGGGTGGGTTCTGGGTAGCCTCTCACAGCTCATGAGGAAAGGCTTTCCAGAAAGGGAGTAATGGGGGGCAGCACCTTCAAAAGCCCTCCACCTCACAGTGTGGGGGGTGCCCTGGGGGGCCGGATGCAGGTCATGTGAAGGTAACTGTGGGAGACAAGACTAAAGACAGAGCCTTGAATGTCTGGCTGCGGTTTCTGAATTTTATTCTGGAGGCTGTGGGGAGCCGTGGAGGATTTGCAGGAGCAGAGCCATGTTTTGGGAGGGGAATGCCAGGAGAAAGGTGGGCCTCGTTGGGCCTTGCCAAACCTTTCAAGGTTTGACAAAAGCTGGACCCAGAGCATCATTACCCCCCTTCTCAGTTCCAATGCTTCTCACCCCCCAACCAGAACACACCCCACTGGGGTTGGCATTGTATTTCCATGGGAAAAGCTCCTCTGGGACTCAGGGGGCTGCTTCAGGGCTGGAGGAAATGGCTGGGGCTGCCAGTGCCTGCCTAACCTCAAGGGGTCGTTTGAGGAATGGGGGTGGTCCCTGAGCCAGGCTCAGCTCTCACCGTTTTCTGCAGGAAGAACTGGAAAAGCCAGAAGGTCTCATGGTCATGTTCCACCATCAGCTGGAAAAGCATCACCATCTCATGGAAGCCCTGCTGGTACTCTGGGGTGGAGGGGAGCTAGTGAGGAGGGGCGGAGCCTGGGCTTGGACAGGCCCTATCCCAGGAAGGGGTTGAGAAGAGGGGGCTGAAAGGAGACCCAGCCCTCTGGCGCACCTGCCTGGGTGTTGCAGACGTAACTCAGGAGCAGGATCTTTTCCAGCCTCTTCTTATCAATAAGGACATTGCCCAGGGGGTCTTTGTCATAGAGTTTCTGGATGTCGTATGCTAGGTGGGGGGCAAGGGATGGTGAGGCACCAGATCACCTCCAGCAGAAGGTCCATGGGTGAGTTTATTCCCCTCATTCCAAGAGGCTAGGACCCAGGACATCCTGGGAAAGGGGCCGTGAAAAAGGTACATCAGCCCACCAGGCTTTGCCTCTCACCAAAACATGAGCTGCCTGGGCTTTTTCCCACCTCCAAATCTTTGACCAGGCTGTACCCTTTGCCAGGGATGTCCCACCCCTCCACCAACTATCATTCAATCTAGTTCAAGGCCAAGGGGGGAAGAGATGTAGACAAACAGCAGAAACAACATACACCCAGGGATACACAGTGCTGGGCACCCAGGGGCAGCCAGTAGAGCCAGGCGGACAGACTAACCAAGGTTTAGCTGCCAAAATTCCTGGCACATGTCAAGGCAGCTCCCAGGAACCACCGCACAGATGTGACTGAGCGCACAGATGTGACCTCCAACCCTCCCCTCTGCCCAGCACAGCCCACCCTCCTTGGCTCACCGATGTTATTCCGAGTCTCTATGAAATTCCGGTGCAGGTTTTCCAGAAGGGGCTGAATCTTCTCGTACATCTGGCATAAGGCCTCGTAGTTCTTCCTGTGAGAACAGAACTGAGGCTGAACGAGGCAGCCTTCCCTTCCAGGCCAGTCGGGGTAACCCTGAGCAGTGCCCTCACCCAGGCAGTGCCTGCTACCTGTGCTGCCTCCCCTCTCCCCGCCTCTGCCAGCCCTAACCATCATCTGATGTCTGCCTGGAGTGCAGCAGGGTGACAGGTTTAACCTCTGGCTCTGCAGTCTGACCACTGCACCTGAATCCTGGATCCACAACTTAAGTACTGGGTGTCTGCCACTAGGGTCAAGACTTGGGGATATCACCAGCCCTCTCTAAGCCTCAGTTTCCTTGTCTGTAGAATGGGGCTAACACTAGCACCTATGCCTCAGAATTAGAAGGGCTGGATGAGGCAATGCTTTGTGCCCATCATTAGAACGAGCTTAGGTGGTGTCGTGGGTTGAATGGTGACCCCCAAAGATAAGTCCATGCCCTAACCCCTGGAACCTGTGAATATGACCTTATTCGGGAAAAGGGTCTTTGCAGGTGTATTTAACTGAAGGATCTTCAGTTAAATACTGTGTTAAAGTTAAATCTTTAACTGTGAATCTTCTCCACCTCAAGAAGGCTGCACAGGCCTAGGGATGGCTAGGCTGGGCTGAGCTGGGCAGGGGGTGGACAGCTGGGAGGTGCTGGGGTCCAGCTCAAGTCAGCAGAGTGAGGACTGGTAAACATGGCCGGGCTGGGGTGCGGGGTCGGGAGTGGGGATGGGGGAAGGTACTGATGCCCCCTGTATGTGGGCCCTGAGTCGGCAGAGCCGTGGGGATTTTGTCTCTTGGAAAGAGAAGTCCATTTGAAGGAAGAAGCCTGAACCTACCAGACTGGGGTGGGCACCCCCTCCCACCTGCACCGCCAGCCACCCTCCCCTGACAGGATCTGGAGTGCTCTACCTCCTCGTGCTGTCCACCATGAGCCGCTCATCCTGGGAACTCTGCCACGAGTAGTAGCCCGTAAGGAATTTCCAGGCTTCCGTCCTCACGAAGGGGTGCAGACCCTGGGGAGGGGTGGAGGTGAGAGGTCGTGGGCCTTCCAGATGCTTGCCTAAAGGGCCCCTCCCAATGTCATGCCTGTCCCCTTGCCTGCCCATGTGCCCCAGTTCCAGGGCGAGGCCAAGGGTAGCTGAGGACCATACCCTTTCCAGAATGTTAACACAAATGAAGTCTCGTGACTTGGCCAAGTGACCGTTCTCGTCAAAGAAGCCATCCCATTCCGTCTTGTCAATGGGTGGTTTTCTCTTCACCTGCCAAGGACAACCACCTTAGCCCTCTGTTAGGAACCTTTGGCTTTTCTTTAAGTGTGATTTTTAAGTGATATACTCTGGATTTTTCAATGTGAATCAAAGTTCACCACCTCTGACTCACTTCTGGAAATTTATCCTGAGGAAATTACTGAAAATATATAGAAAAACACTGTATGCACAGTCATTTTCATTGTACACTACTTACCAAAATGAAAAATGCAAGCACTCTCTAACTGTTGTGCAATAAGGGAATAGTTAAGTAAACTATGGTTTATATGCTTAATGGAATATTGTGAGGCATTTAAATTGATGTTTACAAGGAAAGAATAATAATCTGGGAAAATACAAATGTTAACGGACAAAAAGCAGAAAACAAAACTGTGTATTCAGTATCTACTCTCTCTGTGTACTATACTCCATACATCTGTTACATATTATAAGAACTTCACATTATATACTCTTAGAGTGAATTAACCACTATAAAAATCCTGTTAGGGGGCTTCCCTGGTGGCGCAGTGGTTGAGGGTCCGCCTGCCGATGCAGGGGACACGGGTTCGTGCCCCGGTCCGGGAGGATCCCACATGCCGCGGAGCGGCTGGGCCCGTGGGCCATGACTGCTGAGCCTGCGCGTCCGGAGTCTGTGCTCTGCAGCGGGAGAGGCCACAACAGTGAGAGACCCGCGTACCGCAAAAAAAAAAAAAAAAAAAAAAAAAAAAAAAAATTCCTGTTAGAAAAAACCCTGAAAAAAACCACCTAAAAACAAAACAGTGATTATCTTTGAGTGATAGGATTATAAGTAATTTTCCCCTTTTTCTTATATTTTCAAACTTTTCTATAATAATATATACTGCTTTGATAATGGAAAAATATAAAACAAGCACTAATTAAACACATCCAGGAGCTCCATTTTAGCTTTCCTAAAAGAATAGAACAATGCATCATAAGGAATGGTTTCTGGTTTACTTCAGGGGTATGTGTGTGTGTGTGTGTGTGTGTGTGTGTGTGTGTGGGTGTGTGTGTCAGGGGAAAGTGAGTGCAATGCATACAAAGTAATTTAAAATGCTCATAAAACAATAATTAGGAGTTGAATTCCTGTTGGAACAGGGGAAGATTCCTAGGAGTCTTGTATTGGAGAGAATATCTTGAAATGCCACATAGCAGACTTGAAAGTGTGCTGATGGACAGAGCTTAGCAGGTGACTAGACATATCTGATGTATATACTCCCAACTTCCCATTAATATATACCTGAATATGCACATGTGTGACTCAAATTTAAATTTGCATACGAGTCACCTGAGGATCTTCTTTAAACACAGATCTTAACTCAGAAGGTTTGGAGTGGGGCCCAAGATGACACATTTCTAACAAGCTCCCAGGGGATTGCTGAGGCTGGTCCACTGACCACATGTGTCAAAAGGTGTTAGAAGTAAAACAGCACTGGAAATTAAAAATTAGAGCCCACAGGCCCAAATTTGGGATAATTTCCACTAACTCCATGTTCTATTGGGATGGATTGAGCAATACACTTTGATGACTCATACATGCTCCATCTTCTGAACCAAAATAGGGCATATGGGACATATGTACCTAGAAGGTACAAAAAACCTTGGCCTTCGCCTAACCTTGGGAAGCAGGGTCTGCCCTGATGCCATGTCCCGACTGCATAGGCACTGTCATCTGAGCTGAGCAGAGCCAGGCTTCTGCCCCCCTGACAGCCATCATGATCTCCCAACCTATACTCAGAGACTGCAACAC